ATTAATTTTTCAGCTGTTTCTTTCTGTCCTACTCACTGGGCTTGTGGCTTTCAACATTACATACAGCATGCTGTAAAGTGCCAAAAATTAAATTGTTGTTCATTTTCCTCTAATGGTTTGTGTGACAGCATCACTATCCTACCTGAGGAATGATAGAGTTCAGTGACATTGAACATCTCAGACTTTATAGGAGTCACAGAGTTGTCCTAATTTATGGCTTAGAAACAGAGACCCATGCAGTCAGAAATATCTACTAGTGCCCAGTGAAGGGGTGAGACGCACTTTTTGTGATTGTGGCCATGTAACAACAGTACTTCTTGCTCAAAGCACAACTCCAGACCATTTCAGAAGCAGTTCTCAGTGCTTCCAAATCTCTGCTCCTCATATCTCCTGGTCTCAGAAAGCAAAACACACTTGGACACAGGTACACATGCACTAGCTAAACTAAACAATTGTGTAGATGATCTTATCATTTCAGAGAATATTTCTCCTGTAGGCCCACAAAGACCCTACTTGTGCCACCAGCAATACTTGCATAACCTCAACTTTTACAAAAGGAAGAGCCTAGTAACAGATTTCTTAAGGGCAAATCTGTGGGGCATAGGATGGGGAAAAGAACCATAGGCTGATGTGCACACAAAGCAGCTGCACAAAGGCTTTGAGTAAAATGTTAATTCAGATATATGTCAGATATTTCAAACACCAGCCTCTGGCATCTGGAACACTTTTGATGTTAACTGATTTTGAATGCAACATTTTACTAATGGATATAAAATGTTAGTGGGGACAGATCTTCACCTGACACTACTGCATTTTTTGTGCTGTATTTGTAAGATTGGACTTCTACACAGCACTCCATGAGGACCTGACTCCTCCTCAGAGTGCATCTTTCCCTGGTAATTCCCAGTGTGAGTAAGTTGTGCATTTGCATTTTGCAGTATAGGTTTCCTGCACTTTTCAGGAACTGTTACTCCAAACACATTGGGAAGCCCATCTCTCAAGGAAAGACTGTGCTGACATTTCAATTTTATATTGCAGGTGCTTTTGTGGTCAGCTAATAAGGTTTTTGAAGAACTGACAGACATTGAGAGGCAGTTCCACAAGGCTTTTTACACGGTGAGGGCATACCTGAACTGCGATCGGTACTCAGTGGGTCTCCTGGACATGACGAAGCAGAAGGTGAGCGTACACGTGTGATGTGCACCTTTCTGATTGCTGCTACTCACTGAGAGGTGATGTGTGGAGATAAGTTTTACTGAGGCAGTCAAAGTTCGAGCTAACTTTGAGTCATTATTTCTGCTTTGGTTGGCATTTTTTTATTGTGCAAATTAAGAGACCAGGTTAACAAAAACAGTGGCAAAGGGAAGAGCTTATCACTGGAATGAGACTGTCAAAGGACCCAGAGGCTGGGAAGAAAGAGAAAGGGCAAACGTATCTGACCATGACAATCCTGGTCAAAGCCTGCAACACAAGCACAGCCTTGTGAAGTCTGTGGATATCAGAAGTACAGTGAGATACCTGTGGAAAGCCCTAGCAATAAAGCAGCCACTTTCCTCAAGGAGTCATCCTTGTTTAGGTGAAATTCACTTTCATGAAAACAAGCTGACAGAAGCTAAGTTACTTCTGATTTGACCTGATTGTTTGCACCTTTGACAAGATTTATGTGGGGGTTACAAAGTGTCTTCGTCAGTGGAGCCCTGATTTATCCCATGGTCAGGCTGACCATCTTGTTGCCAGAGCTTTTGTAGCACGCTGTCTTGTGAAGAGGTGTATTAAAAGATCATTAGTGCACTAAAGACCCTTTGATCAGCATGGTAATGTAGCCTAAGAAAAAACAAAAACAAAAATTTATTTCACTTTAGCAATCTGGCAAGTAGTAGATCACCCTATAGTTACACTCTGGAAAATGAAGAGCACAAAAAATACTGGCATAGCTGTTTGCTCTGAATACAGCTGGAACTGGTCTCCAAATGAAGCATCATCCTGTGTTTAGGCTGTAAATTATTGTAAGCAGCCATAGAATGCGCTTCACACTTCATGATTTGGATACATCATTCTGCTGCCTAGTATTGAAGTAGTCTTATTATTTCATGCCTTGTTTACACAGTACCAAAACCAGCATGGTAGAGCAGTGGTTGCTTTGCAGCTCAAGTCAGAATGCACCTTTCTACTCTAAGAATACTTCTGTAATTTTAAAACCAGGAATTTTTTGACCTGTGGCCAGTCGAGCTGGGAGAAGTACCCCCCTACTCAGGACCTCGCACCCCAGATGGCAGGGTATGTGAGAATCAGATTCCTTTAACTCTCTCCAGTCTGGCTGGATTGACTCACCACTAATTTTAAAGCCACTCTTCTTTTTATTTGTAGGAAATAGTCTTTTACAAGGTGATTGATTATATATTACATGGAAAAGAAGACATTAAAGTAATTCCGTAAGTGTCCAGTCTCTACAGGGTTAGATTCTAGCTAAAACTGAGGTTCCCCATGATTTGAAGACATCCTTGAAGAGAAATGCAAAGAATTGATAGAGACTAAGAGAGACAGAATGTAAGTTGGTGCTTTGACTCATATTTCTGTGGGATAAAGATTTCCTCAAGGGCATTGGAAGCCTGACTTGCAAGTCAGGCTCCAAAATCCACTGCAACCAGTAATTCTTTTGAGGTGCATAAGTGAGCTTCCCTGACTGCCCGTGGTTTTGCCACTCTCCTTGCCAGTCTGAGGCATCACTCCTCCTCCATGTGTCAGCTGGTAAGCCACCCAGGATGCCCTTGTGTTGAGGCACCTGTTGCTCTGCTTCTCTCATAGTCTTCTGTCACTGGACCCATCCTGAGGCTACCTCTGGACTTTCCTCCACTCTTGACACACTGAGACTCTTTCTGAAAACTACTGGCTCTTCTTGCTGTTGAATTTTTCAGAAGTGACTTAGGCACCTTAGGCAAATCTGACATAGCAGGAGTTTTGCCTGGTTCTGGTCACACTGCTTTGCACTGATGTACGTGCTGCAAGAAAGGACCCCACCGCTGAGGTACAGCAGTGTTCAAAGTTCAGGCTGGCAGACACCCTTAGCCAGGAACCTTCTTTTATCTTTCTCTGTGTTGAAGGCCTGACACATGGCCCCCACTCCCTGGAATGACTTTTCATTAAGTCTCTGCAGACTGTGATATTTTATGAGTTATTTTTCATGGAATCCTTAAAAAAAAAGTATTTACTTATGTGAAAAATTTTTGCTTGTGCACATGGATCCTTTGAAAGTAACAGGACTATTTAGGAACTGAGGGTGAAATACATAAACCTGGATTATGCAAACAGCTGCATACAATTCAGCTCCATGATCATTCTTCAGTAAACGTATATCCTTAATTTCCCATATGCATTTTTGTTTCATTCAGAAATCCTACCCCAGATCACTGGGCGCTAGTTACTGGACTGCCAGCCTACGTGGCTGAAAGTGGATTTGTAAGTACTCAACCTAGGCTTCATTAGGTATTTCTAAGATGAAGTCATGCTCATGCTGCTTTCTTATCACTTCAGTTCTTTGTTTTGGTATTTAAGCTTCTCATTACTCATATTGTAATTCTTTTTATTTTGTGTTATCCCCCAGATTTGCAACATTATGAATGCTGGTGCAGATGAGACGTTTAACTTCCAGGTATCATGAAAACTTCAAGTTCTATCAAAGATTCTACTTTGTTTCCAGAAATGTAATGTAGAGTCAATGTTAGGCATGTAAATACTTCTTTTGCCTGTATTGTTACTGTAAAATGAGAGCGTTGTTGTATTTAGAAAATCCATTAAGTGCATGGTGTCTTTCTGCTTGCTGTTGCTTCAAGGAGCGTCCTCTAGATGAATCAGGATGGACTATCAAAAACGTTCTCTCCATGCCAATAGTGAACAAAAGGGAAGAAATTGTTGGTGTTGTCACATTTTATAACAGAAAAGATGGGAAACCATTTGATGAACAGGATGAGACCCTCATGGAGGTACAGTTCCTTGCTGTGGCTTCTAGCTCATATGGTTGAGAGATCACTATTGCTCATCATACACCTGCAAAGCATCCCCTAGTATTTTGCAGCTATATAGGTATCTTTGTTGCTTAGAGAGGTGTTACACATCAAATTAAAAGTTTGAAATCAACTATTTGAAATACTGGGAGAGTTTGGTCTTGGAAACCCAACTGTGCTCACATAATTTTGTTTCAGCATTCTTGGGTTGGACACCTAGCCATGAGCAGCTACTATGTGCCAACACAACCATTCTGATCTCTGTTCACATACCTAACAGATGGCTCTCACTTGTTGGTCGAGTTCCTCAAGAACTTACACAGAAATTGTCTATGTAGCTGAGATGCAAATGGAGGCCAGTTGTTGAATCTGCCAACAGCAGCTGTCATTAAAGACCTTGTTGCTTAGAAATGCTCCTATACTAGTTTAAATCCAATATAAGCATTCAGGTCTTGGCATCTGCTATCAATCAGAACACTTCTGGATACAGACTTTTCTTATTAAGCAAAAAGGCTGTGGCAAAAAAAAATCAGTTTGAACTGGCCACTGAACAGCAAAAAAGTTGAAAGTAAACACAGGGTGTGAGTAAATACACATGAGAGGTGATGAGACTGCCTTGTTCTCTCTCCTTTGCTCTGAGGGTTTCTGACTTGGTGTCACCATTGTGACAGCAGCCTTTCCACAATCTTGAAGACACTTGCAACAACACAGAAAAAGTTTTTTGTACACTGAATTGGACAGAGAGTCCTTGAGCCCCCACAGCATGGATGCTCTGAAGGCCTGGCCAGATTCAACAGCTGAGGAAATGCTTTGCAAGTCACAGTTGGGACCAAACACAGGGTTGTTCTTTGCTAGAACTGTGGCCAAAGTGGAATTTGTTTTTTCTTTAAAAATATATCATTCTGTGTCTTTGAGGAACAGATGTTTTGGTTATTTCACTGTTTTGTTCTTTTCCCCTCACCAAGTCCTTGACACAGTTCCTGGGTTGGTCTGTACTCAACACAGACACATATGATAAGATGAACAAACTGGAGAACCGGAAGGACATTGCTCAGGACATGGTGCTCTACCACGTGAAATGTGACAAGGATGAAATCCAGGAAATTCTGGTAATGCCTTGCAATGTTCAGCATACACCCAAGTGTACTGGCCTGGCCCATGACTTACGGCACAGACACAGTTCTCCCATTTCACAGAAATGCTTCCACCCTCCAGGCAGGAGCTGGGGCCCTAGTCACCACACAGTGGCAAAACAAGTCTGTCTTTTGACTCTGTGGCCTACTCTCCACCTCAGCATACTAACCCCCTGTGTCCTTTCTACTTTTCTCAGCAAAGCCAGTCTTGGAGGTGGGCTTACACAGGTGCCACCAAGGACAGGGCTGTAAGTGTGGGAGAGAAACTAATTTATTCCCCAAAACCTCCTTACTGGAGAGGATGTGAAGTTATGAGAACCCATTTGGGACTCTGGCTGTAGGGGGACATTTGCATGTAGGGGAATCACAAAACAAAATCAGGGAGAGGGAGAACACTTTACCAGGAAGCATGAGTTAAAAGGCCAGAAATTTAAGTAAGATCCAGGAAGGTTTCCAGGAAGGAAACAAAATTTGCATATGAGAGCTGCCCTAGATTGCCCCAAAGTTGCACAATGCATAGTCCAGTGGGGTTTGATTGTCAGCCTAACACACCCACATTCTTTGCAGCCAACACGAGAAAAGTTGGGGAAGGAGCCAAGTGAGTGTGAGGAAGAAGAACTGGCAAGCATTCTGGTAAGAGCAATCAACTGCTGGGATGAACAGCTGTGACAAACAAGGATTGCTTGCGTGGATGCAGGGAAGAGTTCCAAGTGTTGACATACCGGTAGCTGGTGAAGGGTGAAGGCAAGGCACACCCTGCCCTCCTGTGCCACATGAGTTTGACGTTATCATTATAATGTCACAGCAAGTGCTTTCCTCAGCATCCCAGGGAGTCCCTGTCCTCTGACACTTTATCTCAAGGGGTTCCAAGTCCATCTGGAAACACATCAGCCACCTTGGCTTGTTACACATTTTTTTTCTCCAGAGTAATTAAAGAAGGCTGTAAGTCTTCCCCTTTTTAAATCTTCAAACTATATCAAATCAAGTGTTTTACAGAAAACAAACAATATTTCTTTCACTTGACCAAAAATTCCCTCCCTCTTACCCCACTAATAGGGTTATAATAAAAAATTGCATTTCAGTGTTATTTCCTAAAAGAAAAAGTTACCAGCAGTATCAGACTGATTAATTTTTATTAGGCAAAGCCTAGGAATGACGTAAGCAGCAGTGCAATAAACCATCCCACCTCTCTTACAGAAAGAAGAACTCCCAGAGCCCACTGAGTTCGAAATCTATGAGTTCAGGTTCTCCGATTTTGACTGCACTGAGCTAGAGCTGGTGAAGTGTGGCATTCAGATGTACTACGAGCTCGGCGTGGTTAAAAAGTTCCAGATCCCACAGGAGGTAGGAGATGGCAAACCCCAGACTCTCCTGTATTGGATGGCCAGCAGACTCACCACATGGCTGAGGTCCCCATGCATGCCCACTGCGGCTCACTGAACAGCCAGAGGTCTGGGTTCACGGGGCCTTGCCGGGAGAGGAGTATGCCTCCTAAGTCCCCTCATCCCTCCGAGGGCAGGGAATCACCTCTCAAAGCTGCTGGTTACTACACATCAGTTTTGAGCATAAAGCTCTTTTGCTCTGCATTGCCTGCCACAGGTGTGGGTTTGCTGCGAGGTCTATACATCTGGGTGGTACACCATGCAACAAATTACTAGCACTTGCTCTATCTAATACCACACACAGCCACAGTGCAAAAACATAGTTACCAGGCACAACATGGGAATTACCTTCCTGCGTGTCTGTTTCATTTACTATAGTATGTAACCCATAGCTTTCAGTCAAGATATGCTGAAATCAACAATGGCAGGTCTCTTTGCTTTTCTTCCCCCCAAACACGGACATGCCTTCATTTGGTGCAGTTGGTCCCACCTTCCTGACTGTCAACATGAATGGTGTGATCCTTTGGGATCAAGGACCCCATTGCTCCTGATGTCCAAGTTCTCGACTTTTGCCACAGTTCAAACCCCTGTAGGAATTGCAAAACTCGCATTTCAGCAGATCTGCCGTGCAGATTTCTCAGCACATCATGTGAGGTTTATTTCCATCTAGTGGGATCTGGAGGTAACTGCAGGTAGAGTTTTCGCCCTGAAAAGCAGGCTGGGAATTAGGAGGGAAGTGAATAGGAGTTACTTCTGTGCTTATTTGTAGCACGTCAGTGTCAAAAAGTATTCAAACTATCCACCCCGGAACAACCAACCCCTGATACAAGCCTGAAAAGCAGTCATTCTTTGCTGCTGCTCTGGACAGTTGAGACTTTGAGAAATGAATATTCATCCATAAATAATTTTCTCTCTAATGAGAAAACCTGTATAGCTACAAGAGGTAATACACAGGGAGATGTAGAATGCAGAGGGGAAAAAATGTCCTGTATTGTAATTGTTTAGGTGATATAAATGTCACCCAGCTCTGCATCTAGGAGATCCATATCTCTTGAAGAGAGGTACCAATATTAGTAAATCACGAGACATGGAAGGGACAAATCCTATGAGTAACAACTTAGAGAAACACATAAATTTAAAAAATTCAGAAATAGTGATATGAAATATTCCTTTATTCACACACTGATTATTCTTGTTTACACCATAGGCTTCTCTGTGATTCTATTTCACTTATATAAAAAAGAAAAAGATTTTAGAAAACAGAGCACTATATTTTACTGTCCTCTTTTTGCTCTCCACTTGGCTTTACTATAACAATACTGCCAGAGAAGCATTGTACTACAGCTTCTGACCCCATTCTGAGGCCATCTCTGTAGATCTGGTCTGAACCTCATTCATGACTTCTGTACATGGTCCTTTTGGTAAGAGCAACAGGTAGCAGTTTCGTCACTCAAACTAGTGTCCTCTTCCCCATTTGCAGGTTCTGGTAAGGTTCGTGTACTCTGTCAGCAAAGGCTACCGGAAGATAACTTACCACAACTGGCGTCATGGCTTCAATGTTGCACAGACCATGTTCACACTCCTGATGGTAAGGAAACACCACCCTGGTTAATTTACAGCAGGTCTTCTGCTGCACCTAGGAAATATGCAGGGATGCTTTTGAATCCTGGTGTAGGAATAGGGTTTGTCCTCCTAGCACAGGTCCTGCTAAATGAGGTCCCCATTTACCTTAAGTGACAGTCATTGTGTTACACTTAAAGCTTTGGTCAATACTGGCCAATGAATGGAGCGTGTTAATTCTCACAGGTACAGATGCATATGGTGTTGAATTGTGTCAAGACTGAATCCTTTTGCAGGGTAATGGAGAGAGGCTACAGGCTTTCCATCCTTCCAGTAGATTCTGACAGTAAGAGCCAGGTTGAAATTAGCTGGCTGAGATGGAGACAATGTCAGTCTTTCTACTTCCAGGCAAGACAGACATAGGAGTAAATCTATCGCTAGTGTGAACATGGCAAATGCCATTTCTCACAAGGCCTCAGGGCAACAGGAACCACTGCAAGAAAAACAGGTATTGAAATGCTGCTCCACACCAGGGATTGACCAAGAAACAGTGCAGAAGGAAGGTGTAGAAGGAGGGTAAGGAAGACTGTGAAAGGCCTTGAGGGGAAGCCATATGAGGAGTGGCTGAGGTCACTTGGTCTGTTCGGCCTGGAGGAGACTGAGGGAAGACAGATCTTATTTCTCTATACAACTTCCTCATGAGAGGAAGTGGAGGGGGAGGCACAGACCTCTTGTCTCTGATGACTTGTGACAGGACCCGAGGGAATGTCCTGAAGTTGTGACAGAGGAGGTTTAGTTTGGATATCAGAAAGAAGGTTCTTCACTCAGAGGGTGGCTGGGCACTGGAACAGCCTCCCTGGAGAAGTGGTCACAGCACCAATCCTGACAGAGTTCAAGAAACACTTGGACAATGCTCTCAGGCACATGGTGTGATTCTCAGGGACGTCCTGTGCAGGGCCAGGAGCTGGACTCAGTGATCCTTGTGGGTCCCTTCCAACTCTGAATACTCTGTGATTCTGTAATTCTGGTTCCACACATCTGCTCACACATCTGGCAGCAGACTTCTGCTTAGCACCCCTGGACCATCGTTTAGGTGATTCAGCTTGTAGACCACATTGCTCAGAAGGATGCAAAGCCCCTTCACAAAGCATTTTGTGTATAGTGGCTGAAGGGGTGTTTATGGCAACCTGGGTGAATCTTAGGGCACAAGGCTTCTATAGCAGAGGATAGCCAAATTTGCAGGTGAGCACTGAGAACATATACACTCCACATATGCCTACTTGTGTCTGGAATGTTCTGTTTACAGCTGCTTCCTCATTTTAACCTAAGTCAATCATGTATTGCATTTAGGTTCACAAGTATTTTCAGTTCTCCTGGACTGTTTCAGTGAGGAGATTCCCAGCACAGAGCATTCACAGCACAGTAACTTATTCTGTAAGTGATAACTAACATACAGCATGTAAATTCTCTCTCTCCAGACTGGCAAACTGAAGCGTTACTACACAGACCTTGAAGCCCTTGCAATGGTAACAGCTGCTCTGTGCCATGATATTGACCACAGGGGAACCAACAACCTTTACCAAATGAAGTAAGCACTTTTTTACCACTTCAAACAATTTTATGTTGCTCTCACTTGTAGTGGAATCAGGCTGTGATCACATCAAACTCCAGTACAGCTCTGTTCAATATACAAGGTTAAAAACCTCCTTTAGCAAATTACCTTGCTTTTCAGCTTGCTACAGCACTTGAGCATATGCTTTGGCCAGTGGGGATACTGAAAATTTTCAGTGCTATCTGAGGCTTTCTTTACCTCCTACCAAACCTCCTTTTGTTAAAAAGAAAGTCTACATTACCATTACAGCACAGAACAGGTGCAGTGCAGGCATTTAGTAGCCTGAGCATAACAGGAAACTCAGAATGCCACCAGGAGCATCCCAGACATAAGAAACCTACTTTTAGTTGGACAGTATCCATGGAGAAAGTACCAGGCATGGTACTACCCTCACTGCTTATGGAAACAAAGCACCTATGAGGGTGCTGCTCTCAGTAGGTGGTTCTTAGCTAGAGCAAAACCGTTGCATGATTTCATTGACTAGTCACGATTCTGTTGCTCACTTAGCGTCAGATCACAGAATCACTGAATCATTAAGGCTGGAAAAGATCGCTGAGATCATTGAGTTGAACTTATGACTCAACACCACCATATCAACTAGGCCATGGCACTAAGTGCCATGTCCAGTCTTTCCTTAAACACCTCTAGGGACGGTGACTCCACCACCTTACTGGGTAGCCCACTCCAATGTCTAATAACTCTTTCTATAAAGAAATTCTTCCTAATGTCCAACCTAAACTTCCCCTGGTGTAGATTAAGACAGTTCTTCTGCTATGCTTGCTGGCTATACTGTCTTACTGTTTTCTGGAGCTTTGGAAAAATATTAGGTGAAGGTGACTCACATTTTTGATACAAGAGGGTCTTGCTTTTCAGCTATGTAGGTGTCCAAAGATTGCAGGTTTTCTGTTCCTATTGCTAGATATCAACATGCAGTTATTCAGGATTTAAACAAGCTTACAATGCTGACTAATAATCGTCCAGTCATAAACAACATTTGGGGTGAAATTTGCAGTTGGAAGACTGTTTTATACAGAGTACTTTTACAAAGAGTTGAACTTATGTGTGTGACAAAAATTAAAAATAAAGTCAAACACTTCTTTATATTTCTAAGCACTGCACTAATGTCTTAAATTTTTCCTTTGTGCAACCAGATCTCAAAATCCTTTAGCTAAACTTCATGGATCCTCAATTTTGGAGAGACATCACTTGGAGTTTGGAAAATTCTTGCTCTCTGAAGAGGTTGGTAATAAACTATAACATAACGGCATGGACAAATGTTAGGGAAGGTTTCTATTAACAACAGAGCTGCCAGCCCAAGATCTTTCTCTGGTTTGGATACAGAGAAACGGCAGCTGCCTCAGTCCCCAAGTACTCTGTGCTCACCCAGGACCAAAATGCATAGGCTTCCTAAATGCATGACTTGGTTTCTTCAGAAACCACTTCACTACCCCCACAGGAATATGTTAAATACAGGATTGTTCTCCTGTAGGCTTTCTGACAGGGCTAAGCCAAACACATTCCCACAGCTAACTTTTAATTTCAGATGAATTTGCCCTGTAACAAGCTTCAGGATACTGACCCTGTTCAGTGAACAAAACAGGAAACTAGGTAGTCACATATGATGAATGGGACTCACAACACTTGCGCCTTAGGGGAGCAAACTGAAGCTATTTAACTATTTTAAAAAAAAACAAAAAGTGAACACATTTGAGAAAGGGAGGCGGCCAGGGACTTCTAACAACACAGTACTTGGATTTTAGAACTCCCTTTTCTTTGCTTTTCAGTCACTGAATATATGTCAGAACCTCAATCGCAGGCAGCATGAGCGCATGATTCACCTGATGGAAATTGCCATTATAGCAACGGACCTGGCACTCTACTTCAAGTAAGTCCATCACATACATCATGAGTGAAGGACAGAAAGCAGAAGGCACTTTACAAAGGCCAAATGTGACACTTTGCTCTGAAAACCACCTCATGCAGCAGTCCTTCTGGCAGACACTGCCTCTGGGAGGCTGCCTGTAATACTGACCTCACAGTGGCTGAGGAGGACTCAAATAGTTCAAAAGAAGTTTGAACTTCTACTCAATTAAACCACACATGTAACTTTTGAACCCTCTATTTCTCTAACCCTAAAGGGAAATACACAAAGAATATTATAAAAAGGAAAAGATTGTCACCACCATGGATGCAGCAACATCCCATTGATCTGTCTTCTTTGGTGGGGAGAGCTCTCACACCTGGGGGAGTGTCAGCTCGCAGCTTTTATGCTTACAGGTCCATTCTCCTTCATGGCTTAATTGCAGCGGTTTAAAGACCAGGGGAATGGCATTTTCCCCACATAGGCCTAGATATTCAGCTCTTATCAGGGGTGCTCTGTGGTGGTGAACTGGCAATTTTTCGGCAAAGCAGGAGTCATAGCAACAACACATTCTCACATACTAGACTTCAAGTGAGGAAGCTGTTGCATATACTCTCTATCTGCTTGTCCCAGGCAGCCAATTCTCTGGAACTGAAAGGGCAGAGAATCATCATGTTGATGACCACATCTGGGTACACTGCACCTGGGTACATTGTTGAGATAAAACAGTTCATTTTTCAGTCTCTTACAGCAGTTTGCTCAACATTAAGGGGGAAAAAAGTCTTCTTGTGCTGTGAGCAAAGATGAAATAATTTCTCAGCTGTCATAACTTTCAGGGTCCTACTCATGTCTCACCACTATACTTATTTTTAAGGCATTTACAGTACTTTCCAATACTTAAGACAAGCCGATGATGGTTCTTGGTTTTGATGGGGGCTTCCTTGGGGATTTAAGTGTGAGGACAGTGAGTACTGGAAACCCTTCTGGAAGGGTTACCAATACCAGGACCAGTCACATGTTTTTAACATATTTGTTTCCTTGTTTCATAGATTTTTCTTTTTTTCTTTTGTTCCCCCAAAGAAAGAGAGCGATGTTTCAAAAGATTGTTGATGAGTCTAAGACATACGATAGTGTGACGGCCTGGACTGAATACCTGTCTCTGGAGACAACAAAGAAAGAGGTTGTCATGTGAGTAACTGGCTCCGGAAATGTAGTCACCTGGTGAGAGCTCCAGGACATGCCTTGTGCTGCACTTATTGCAAAACTAGCATCTGATACATCACTGTCCACTCAAATTTAGTCTTCTGGAGAAGCATGCTAAAAACAGGAAAAAGGCTTAAAGTGGTTCTTCATTCAAACAAGTGTCTTTCTGGTAATTTGCTACTGGCTATACATAGATACATAGTTTCACCAGACAAGCCTGTAGACCACATGCAGGGACATCCAATCTATTCTTCTCAGTGGAATCCAATCTGAGGTGCATAATGCTCTTGTTGTGACTGGACAGATGCCTTGCAGGATGCTTTGCACTCACAACCTCGCTGCAGACTCCCATAAGGGAGCCAAAGATGTTACTTCCAAGCCAAGCAGTTCAGCCCAGCAATGATTAAAGCAGCAAACATCCTGGGGCCAGAAGCAAGTAGATCCCCATTGTAACTACATATTGATCAAGATAGCAATCCTTGATGAGTGTTCCCATCAGAACCAAGGCTATTACAGCAACACATCTTTCTTTATCTGTCACTTCAAGCAGGGACCAGGGGATACCTGACAGTACTGAGGAATGAGGATCCTGGGCCTGCAGGAAGTAGGGTGCAGGCTGTAGAGAATAAATTAATTTCTTTCCTGTTTTTAGGGCCATGATGATGACTGCCTGTGACTTGTCAGCAATCACAAAACCTTGGGAAGTCCAGAGTAAGGTCAGGTGCTTGATAAACTGTCAGATTTATCTACCTCATACTTCAGAGTAATGCAATTTCCTAATCAACCTGTAAGTTGAATCCATATCTCCTACTAAAATTACCAAAAGCAATAGCTATGGTTTTGATGGATTAATCAGTCTTTTAGATTGTGGTTGTGAGTCCTGTATAAATTTCTTGTTTACAAGAGAAAAACCAAACCAAACCAAAACCAAACTAAAACAAAACCCAGTTGTTTATATGTTTGTGTTACAGTGAGGTCTTTTTTTGCATGTAATATATGGGTTGGTTTTATTACAGCAATACCTGCTATTTGTCAGTTGTTTGGTTTCCATTAGGCATTCCTTCTTGATGTGCACTTGATCAATTGCTAAGTAAGAAACACTAAAATTTAAAGGAGGGTAAAAGAAAAAAAACTACCTTCCAGTTCAGTATGAAAAAAGGGCAACAAACAAATTGCAATAGGCAGCCACTAGGTCACCAAGAGGCAAATCCTTGAGAGGAAACATTGAAAATATTTCTTGATAGATGAGCAGTGGGGTAATGAGTTCCAGTGCAATAACACTGTTGAGCTGTCACTACACAGGTGCAATGCTATTGCCATAGTTGCCCTTCTCAGGAGAAAGAGTGGGAGCAGGGTTGGACACAAAGAAACAGAAGGGTTAGAAGTGAGATTTACTTCACAGTGAAGACCAGAAGCCCATCAAGTTGTGAGGCTGAACTTGGTGCTAACTCTTCTTTTTACCTCCTTGTCCATGTAGGTGGCTCTACTGGTAGCAGCTGAGTTCTGGGAGCAAGGGGACCTAGAAATAAATGTCCTACAGCAACAGCCTATTGTGAGTACTGTGTGAAAGCCAGGCAGGTCAGTTCAGACAGTAAGTCTCAGCAGAGGCTTACAACAAGCAATGCTGCTCTCGGAGTGCTGTGAGTCTGCCTGAAACCACTATGCCTGCCAAAAGCTTAAAGCTATTCAGTGCCTGTGAACCATCAAGGAGTGACTGTACCGTTGGAGACTTTATGCTGGTTCCTTACTGAAAAAATGGAAAATTAAACAGATCAGTCACAGAAGAAAGCAGAGTTTCTAATAAAGAGAAAAACTGTGAACACAAACTTCCTAGGGTCAAGAAATTATTCCTGGTAAATGGGATGGTGTTTCTAACATATCTTTCTCCTGCTATAACAGCAAATAGTAAAATTTGGAACTGGAAGAGCCAGAAGTCATTCCTTGATGCATTTTCCACCTATTTGGTTTGGGTTCTATTTAAGTAGATTTTCATACACTTCCTATACCCACAGTGGCATCACATATGATACAATAATCAACAAGGTCTTTTAAGAATATAAGTTTGCATTCAGCTATGTTTTAGAGAATTGAAAACCTCTTCAACAGTTTATAACATGAACTTTCCCTCAGGTATGCAGTTGAGACACATGCAGGAAAAACTTTCTGTCCTCCTCCTCATTCATAGCAACTCAAATAGCTACCTAAAATTTCTCCTAAAATGGCAAAGGAAATGAGCTCACTTCACTCCACCAGAGCAGAGGAAGAGGGCTGTGATGGACAATCTTTATGGATGGCATGACAGAAATGCCAGTCTGACAAAACAAGGAAGTTTTGGGGAGAAAATAGAGATGTGTTTTTCAATTAAGCATTCTCATGAATCACGTTGAACTTGTGTCCTCCCACAGCCCATGATGGACCGAAGGAAAGCTGCTGAGCTTCCAAAGCTTCAAGTGGGTTTCATTGACTTTGTGTGCACATTTGTCTATAAGGTAAGTCAGGTGCACCCTTGCATACACCATCCTTCTCAAGAGGGATCCAAAGCCTGGGTGGTTGAGTCCCAGTGCAGACACACCACCCATGGGGAGAGGGACAGGTAGAGGAGACAACAGCTGCACCTCTCTGGAGCATTGTAGCATGGTGCCTCTTTGTGCCATTAATGCTTTCTCTTCATGAACCAGCTTCAGAGGTGAGCCGTCAGGGTCTGTCCTGGGGTATGATGAACAGCCACTGCCTCTGCACTGCATTGCACTGACAGGTGTGTTTTGGTTAGGAATTTTCCCGTTTCCATGAGGAAATTCAGCCCATGCTTGATGGGCTGCTGAACAACAGAAGTGAGTGGAAGGCCCGTGCTGATGAGTATGATGCAAAAATGAAAGCTCTGGAGGAAGAGAAGAAAAAAGAGGATGAAAGAATGACTGCAAAGAAAGGTCAGAAAAAAAATTTGCTTTTCATTCCTAACTCAAGAACATATGCAATATTCTCACTGATCTGCAGCAAGCTTTGCTGACACAGTAGAGTTAGATGCCCAGAACAAGTTTCCTAAATTTGATTCCACTGGCAAGGCTGAAGGCAACTTGTCTTCAAACCTGACACCATGACTGGCTGTCAAAAAGGCCACCCACTTAAATTTACAGGAACTAGAGCCTGAGAAACTAGTGAGAATACATTCAGCACAAGTGCCTATGCAGCTGGTGATAGCAGAAGTTCTTTGCGGTATACATCTGTCCCTGGAAAACAGAGGGGAAACATCCCTTTGTACACAGGAGCTGTGACCAGTGTGCTCTCCCACGGGACATGAATCAGGAGTTAAGAAAACCTAACACAGCTCTAGGGAGAACATCTGAGAAATAATGGTTCATCCCATTTGTAGCCCAGATTAGGTACTACCTAGAAGTAAGCAGTAGTGGTAGCACCTAGTAGCAATTAATTTTCGTCAAATCCATTTTTGTTTTTCCATGGCCCAGTCTGCGTAGCACTGAAATCCATCAGCTGTAGTGGGCACTGGAGAAAAGCATGTTTGATAGTCTAAAGATCTGTTTGTCTCTCTGAATGGTGGAAGTAGAAGGTTCTCTTGGGCTCTCCCAAATGTCTGTTCAAATATCTGTCAGAACTTGGTGCCTCCTTTCCACAGAGACTGCATCCGAACTTTCCTTTTATTCCAAACTGGACCAAAATTCCAACAGCCCAAGGTGTGGACATTGCTCAAATGACACCATTTAGAAATTATTAGGGCTGTCTTGATGTTTTATCTCAGTTTAATTCACAGTAGTTAGCTTCAAATATCAAAAGTAAGTACTTTAACTATAATTTGGAAGATTTCTGAAGAATCATTTGCTGAATAAGCAATGGATGTGCATGCAAGAAAGATTTCTACTAACTCTAAAACATGCTTTCCAAGCAGCCTTACACATACAATTGCTTTGCACAGTAGACAGCTCTAGACAGAGTACTATAGATATGACCCATACTGTTCACTGGAACAGCATAGAAGTCCTAAAATCTCCTGTAATGACTAAGAAGGAAATTTATGACTACACCTCTAATTCTGTGCTTCTTTTTTATATGGTAGGTGGGATAACCTGTAATGGAGGAACAGCTCCAGCTTCCAAAACCTGTACCATACTTTAGACCTACTATCAGTGCAATATATGCCACCCAAAATGAGAATGACCATGCTTAAAACAAAAAAATAAATTATCAAGGCACACAAATACATTCCTGATTGGACTGTTCTGATACTTAGTTAGGCTTATGACCAACCAGGAAAGGGCTAGATCTTGTTTGCCTTAATTGCATCTCTTCCTGATTGTAAGGAGCCAGTTCTGTCCTGTCTCTTTCTCCATTTAACGCACCTCATGTCAGATGGCATATGGCAAGTCAGAACAATATTTGGCCCAATAAATCACATTGCAAGACTATGGAAGAGCATTTCTCCTGCACTGAAACACTTCTTACCTCAAAGATGATGGGGATAGTACTACTCCATTCAACTTGATGTGATTGACAATGTATGCAACCATAGCCTGCAGAGTAGGAAAACTGAAGAAGAGCCAAATTTATCATATCTAAGCCTACATCTGTCAGGATACCAGAAGGAAATCGAAGCTTAAGGATAAAGCAAGAAAACTGATCATAGAAAATCCTTGTACTGCTCTAAAATGTTACAATTCCATGTAAATCCAAGAAACACTCAGACAGATAATAGTTCTGCACTCACTTCAAGAATCTGGATAGGTTGCTACCCCAAAGCATGGAACCATTTGTGCAACACTCAGTAGTTGCCTTCTTCAGGAACAAGATCCACACCGTGTGCTAATTCAGGCTTCATTCTTTCACATGTGACTGTAAGAAGATAGTGTTATTGTTTCCCATTACAGTTCCATTTAGAGTTAACCAAGCAACCTGAGTCGTCACATCTCCTAGACTTGTTCTGTTTTGCCTCATACTGCTGATGTTATTTTACACATTTGTTAAGTACCAACCTTTCTTCCTTTCCTCATCCTATTCTGAGATGTGTGGTTTTTAGATTCCCCTCCAGATTTTGAAAGACTGATGACTTGTTCTCTTTAATTTCAGACAAAAGTTAGTTGTCATGTTTATTCATGTGACCATTTTAGAACATTCAATTACAATCTTGTAGCAGTAGAGACACCCGCCTCTGCTCCTGTCTCTTTCTCTCTCTTTCC